CTCATTCTGTTGTCTAGGCTAGAGTGCCATGGCGTCAGCCTAGCTCACAGCCTAGCTCAGACTCACGGCTAAAGCAATCCTTCTGCCTCAGCCTCCCAAGTAGCTTGTACTACAGGCATGTGCCACCATGCCTGGCTAATTTTTTCTATGTATTTTTAGTTGGCCAATTAACTTTTTTCTATTTTTAGTAGAGACGGGGATCTCGCTCTTGTTCAGGGTGGTTTCGAACTCCTGACCTTGAGTGATCCTTCCGCCTCGGCCTCCCAGAGTGCTAGGATTACAGGCGTCAGCCACCGCGCCTGGCTAAAAACAATCTTTTATACTTGTCAGACAAGAGAGACATGGACAAATTTCTTGTGTGCCAAATCACATTAAAATACTATCTTAATCTGGTGCGGGATGATGCTAGTGGGGGAGTTTGTGCATGTGCGGGGGAGGGGATATATGGGGGCTCTGTGTATTCCACCCAAATTTGCTGTGAACTTAAAACTGCTTTAAAAAATAAAATCTATTGGTTGGGCGCGGTGGCTCATGCCTGTAATCCTAGCACTCTGGGAGGCCGAGGTGGGTGGATTGCTCAAGGTCAGGAGTTTGAAACCAGCCTGAGCAAGAGTGAGACCCCCGTTTCTACTATAAATAGAAATAAATTAATTGGCCAACTAATATATATAGAAAAAATTAGCCGGGCATGGTAGCGCATGCCTGTAGTCCCAGCTACTAGGGAGGCTGAGGCAGCAGGATTGCTTGAGCCCAGGAGTTTGAGGTTGCTGTGAGCTACGCTGATGCCACGGCACTCTAGCCTGGGCAACAAAGAGACCCTGTCTCAAAAAAAAAAATGTACTGAGAAAAATTATGTTAACATTTGCTAAGATGTTAATGCTAGGCTTATTTGACTCTAATAACCAAATATTCCTATTTTGTACTTAATTTTCTTCTCTTATACTTAATGACCTCAAAAGTCATACTGGCTCCGTGATAACAGCTGCTCCAAAGAGACATTAATGAGGCAAACTCCTGCAGGCAGAGACCTGAAGTTAAGGTTGTTCTAAGGTGAGGATTTTCTGGGGGCTTTCGCTGCCTGGGCTTCTTACCACCTACATATTCCTCATTTTGAAAGTACCTGTTTTATATCTTAATTGAACAGCAGTTCAAATCTCTTGAAAGCACAATAAAGGGGACTTTGGAAGGTGAAGCAGCACTCTAGGTATTTTAGATTGTGCAAGATTACCTTTTAAAGGCCGGGCGCGGTGGCTCAGGCCTGTAATCCTAGATAGACTCTAGGAGGCCAAGGTGGGCGGATTGCTCGAGGTCAGGAGTTCGAGGCCAGCCTGAGCAAGAGCGAGACCCCGTCTCTACTATAAAAATAGAAAGAAATTAATTGGCCAACTAATATATAGAGAAAAAATTAGCCGAGCATGGTGGCGCATGCCTGTAGTCCCAGCTACTAGGGAGGCTGAGGCAGGAGGATCGCTTGAACCCAGGAGTTTGAGGTTGCTGTGAGCTAGGCTGATGCCACGGCACTCACTCTAGCCTGGGCAACAA